CCTTGTCAAACCCTCCCTAACACGTAGCACTGTGAAACACCACAAAGGCATTCTGGAGGTTATAAGGAAATTTTAGGTTCCTGCCCTCAGAGAACTAATAATTCAGTTAGCAAGACAATATCTGGGAAATGATAAATAAATAAAACAGATGCTAAGAACCAAGGGGAACTTGTCTCTGTGAGCTGTAAGATGCAAGGGGGCTTTCTGGATTGAGAACTAATCCAAGCTCCAGGCTGGGCAATGTTTAGTCAAGAATAGAACAATGATGGAAGGTCCTTATTGTCTTTCTAGGTAGAAAAAGATCCTGAAATAAGATGCAGATACGAACAAAGTCAGTGAGGAGGCTGGTTTGACAAGAGTTGGAGAACAGTGCAGAAATGCAAAGAAGTTAAATAGAAAACAGTTGCTATCCTTAACCCCTTAGCATCCAGAAAATCTACAACATGTTTCCAGTGCTGAATTAGAAAATGGTATCAGTGAAGACCAGCCTTGGTTACCCAAAGGCACAGAAAGACTGTGCATATATATATCTAGAATCTTAGCAATGCCACATCTGATAAAGACAAAAAACAGTACGGCTTCCCAATACTTGGTACAGACTCAAGAAACTGACATTCCTTTTTTGGTTAAGGTATTTTGTTTGACTACTTTCTCAAAAACAATTGTCCCTAACATTCTCTGCTGTTGAGTCCTGTCCTAGATTGTGTACGCCTCGAGGAGGCCACATCCGTTCCCTATTTTCAGTCCTCTGGCTCAGAGATGGGGCTCATCGAAGCCCTTCCCAAGTCACCCCAGGCGGTCAATCCTCAAGTCTCCTTCAGCTCTGTTGTACTACAGAACACCCCATATCTGTGGACATCTGTGGAATGGAGAGAGGCAGCTCACATGCTCTCGGGCAAGGGGGCCAACACAGATCCAGCGGACTTTTCTTGGGATTGTAAGATTTCTCCACCTCAAAAAGGGATTCACATCAATATGTTTGTTTTCTCTGCTCTAACAGACATACTATGAAGCCCAATGAACTGACATTTCCAAGACGTTGGGTTCCTCTTATGGGAAGCCACTGTCGTAAAGTACTCCTGGCTCGTTCAACATGACATCGTGAAACACCACTTCCCATAATAAGCTTAAATCAACATTAGGTGATGTGGTGTGGTGCTGCGTACATCACTGAAACGATGTGTCATTCAGATAATATTTCAAAATAAAAATGGAGCCTCATCAAATTGAGAGAAGTTGCATTTACTTTATTTTATGATGGCAAGGATCAAAGAACCTGATGCTAACTGGCTAGATGTGGTGGACCTTTCCTGACTTCTGACAGTGACTCAGCCCATTTTATTAACAAGCTAAAGCTAAGTAAATGATGAATCAGTGCCCACAAAGCAGGAAAAAAATGCGTTTCCCACTAAAAATCGCGAAGTGTGATAAACCTATTTCCGTTAAGAAAACTGCTGGAGTTTTTACTGGGGGATTTCCCAGGCAAACAGAGGCAAAGATATATAAACCAAAGGCGGAAGGTAAGCACATTTCCTCTTAGTGTTTTTATGCTGCACACTAATGCAAACACAGTACAAAATTCAGGGCTGTTTCATGTCGCCCTCCTCCCCAAACCTGATCGGAAGAGATAACCTTCCATCGACTTGCCCAGGCCAGTTGGGCTGGCAAAGGAATGGGCCACATATCCGGTGGGAAGAGCACAGCACAAGGCAAAAGCCACAGGTGTGAGAAGGTCCACTTCACCACCCAGCCATATAAAGTACCATTACCTTCTGCCCTTTCCTCCCCTTCTTACCTTCCATCATGGCCTACATTATCAACCACTGTCATTATTTAACAGCACCCTCTGGCTTCTCTACCTCAATCTCCCAGCCATGCCAAGGTGGCCTGCCTTCACGCTATGCCACATGCTAGGCTTCACCTGCTGTGGTTCTCTTAATCTTAACTCCCCATGGGGTGCAAGCAGAGGCTCAAATGAGTAAAGGAACACCACATTCTCTACGTGGGGCTCCCGATGAGAAGGGATGTGTCGAAGAGGAAAAGTGCAGGCAAGTCCCAACTCTGGAACATTCTGCAAAATAAATGTCCTGAGTCTTCATAAACTGTCAATGTCATGAAAGACAATGATGCTGATGATGATGATGGTAACTTTTTAAAAACTGGGGAACTTCATTAGATTCAAGAAGATAACAAGAAATGAGAACTGTGATCTTATTAAATCCTGGATCGAAAGAAAGGAAAGAAAATTAAAAAAAAAAAAGAAACTAGCTATAAAGAACATTATTTATACAATCGAGGAAATTTCAGTATTGACTGCATGTTAGATAATGCTTTATTGATGTTCAATTTCCGGAGCATGGTAATTACATTGTGATTATGCAGGAGAATGTCCTTCTTAGGAGATCTTTCCCGAAGTAATTAGGGTTAAAGCTCAATGATATTCACAACAATCTCTCAGAGGGTTCAGAAAAAAACAGGCAAGCAAACAAACAAAGAGACCAAGAGAAAGAAAGAGAAGGGAAAATATCAACAGTGGGTGAATGTGGATGTGGGGTGGTATGAGTGTTCACTGTACCATTCTTGTAGTTTTTTTTATATGTTACAAGCTTTCTAAAGAGGGAATTGAAAAAAATTAAAATTATAAACTAAGATAAAATGTTAAAAACAAACAAACCGAAGTACCAGGAGGACCTAAGGAACACACTCAAACAACCAGCAACCGCCAGAGCTGGGCTGCGAACATCAGGTGTTTGGGCGGTGGCTGTTAACGCCAGTCGTGGCTAAAACCTTTTTCTACCTTTATTCTTTTAAAGGCTGTGTGCAAAAAGAAGACACACAGATTGCTTTTTCTTGTATTCTTGTAAACAGAGTATTAATGAGTATTAATAACAAGATGGGATGAAGAAGAGGTCTCAAGTGATGGTTTCTTAGCTTCATGATCTTGTGGAGTATGATTCTCAGCCAGGCAGAAGGAAATGAGAGGATGATTAGCCCATGGCTAGTATCACTTAAAACCTGACTGGAAAGTTAATAAAATGCTAAAATGAGTAAGCTCATCTCAACCTTTAGAAATACATCAGATCACTGGCAGGACTGTCCGCCCCCAGTGTCCGTGAACTTAACAGATGGTTACCACTTGCCCTGCTCTGCTGATGGAGCTTGGGGGAGGAGGCTAGGAGCTGTTTGCACTTGACCACATAGGCAGAACGGTTAAGAGCAGTCCAATATCTTCTGATCCATATTTCTGACTGACTATTAGACACATGCACACGGATGTTTTACAGCTGCCTAAAACCCCAACCCTGAAGTCCATTTATTACCATTCTTTCTCTCCCACTCTTCCTCCTACTAACCACTCCCTTTGCTTCTGTTAATGACACTTTTCCATCTGTGTCTAGAGGTGTAAATCACAAATGAATTTGGCCCTTCCCTTTTACTCCATAAATACATTAATAATTAGCAATTCTCCTAAATAACAGCCCTTGGATAAAGTCTCCATCCTTCCCACTTCACCTTAGTTCAGATCCTCATACTACTCACAAGGACTCCTACAATAACCTCTTTCTTGTCTTCTCTACCTCCGGTCCCTGCTCCTAGCCTCGATGACTGCCATCTTGTCACCTGAGTCCCTTCTCTATAATGACAGTCTGATGTGTCTCTCTCCTCATAAATGGTACCATATATGGAGCCATAAATGGTTTTTCGCTTTCAGTAAGAGGTAAATCCCTCGGCATAAAATATATTGTTCCACACAAAGCCAACCCCCTCTTACCTGACTTCATCAGTCCTGTCCACTCTGGATGATGGCACCTGAGCTTACTGGGACCTCCTTCCATGTGTGTCCTTGTCCCTCTCATATCTCGTATGTGTTCTTCTGGCTGCCTTGGATGCTGCTCCCCATTTATGCATCTGGGAAGTCTTAATCTTCCTTCCATGCCTAGATCACCCTTTCTTCCCCTCCCTCCCTGAGGCAGAATTAGGGACGTCCTCTCTGGGCTCCTGTGGCATCTAGATTACATCATTTATCCACACAGCATTACTATACTTTGTTTGTATGTCTGTCCTCACCCACTAAATCCTAAGGACAGCACTGTGTTTTAATAATCTTGGCATCTCCAGCACCCGGAACAGTGTCTGACACATAGTACTCAACAGATTTATTAAATGAACAGATGTATTAGTAAGTGAAGAGGAGGCATAAGTAAAAAAAACTGTATGGTTTATCAAACTTAAAAACACATAATTTAAAAACTTATAGATAAGGCCGACACTAATGAAACCACAGATCGCTGGTTGAAATTCAAGATTGAAAACCTTTGCTGCCCATTCGAGCCATTCTTATGTCCCAGGACTCTAGGATAGCACAGGGGTCCCCACAAGAACTTGTTTTTCCTGTGGGTGTCTGGGAGTAACCCCTACTCAGGTCAGCTTAAGCCTGCTGACACGTGGGGAGAACAAAAGGGGCCACAGGCTGTCCACATCACTGGAAGGCTGGGCAGTCCAAAGACAGACCGAAATGTCCAGATTTAAAACGTTTCTCCCCAGAACTCTTTATGAGGGTGGTATCAACATAGAGTATTCAGTGAACAGCCCCTTGCTGGTCACCCACCTAAAATCCTGTGCCCTTTTATGCTACACTCCCAAGCTAATCCTGATCTCTGTGCCGAAGGCGCCATCTTGCCTCTGGAAAGCTGTTCCGCCTGTGGGGACATTGCCTTGGAGCCGAGTCATGGAAACAAACTGAGGGGAAGTGGGGAAGACGGGAATGGCATCAGCCCCTTCAGCTGGCAACCGCCAGTTCTCGGCTTCTCCCATGGAAAGTAAGACAGATAATGAGATATTTGATCCACGTGCTTTGGGTGTGCACTTTCAATATGTCACCTTTGGAGAACTCAACCCAACCGATGGATTATTAGTAAAATTCAGCAACCGTCCAGGCCCTTCTCTGTGCCGGGAAGCTGAGCGGCGACACCCAGTAGAAGAGAGACAGGTGGCCTTACCTCTCGGCTCCCGCGTCCACAGCTGCGAGCGGAGGTAACTGGGAGGCGGGGTTGTGGGGGCTCCCCTGCACACTCTGGCCCGGGGAAGGGTGGCCGACGGCATGTGGGGCTGGCATGGCCCCAGCAGCTGTTCCGCTTCGGCTCGAATGACTGTTGCCAAAGATGGAGGCTGGAATCAAGGGAGAACAAGCGTCAGACCGCACGTGCTTTCCATACGGGGGGCTGACAGCAAGCATGCTTGAGGGGCTCGTCTGCGGTTCTCCCGGTGGCTTTGGGGGAGCAGTGCTCCGCTCACTGGACACACACAGCTTTCCTTTTCAGGGGGACAGGTTCCCCAGCTCATGTGCCTTTCCTGTGGCTCGCTCCCGCTGACGCTCGCGGGCTGGCTCGCTCCCTGCCTGGACCTTGTACTGCGTCGATCATGTCACGTCTGCGTCTGGGCAAAGGTCTCTGGGTTCTCACTGCTCAGTCCCGGGGGCACGAGAGGTAACAGTAAATATTTGGTCTGCTGACCCCGAAGAGGCGAACACAGGCCGTTTGCCCCTTGTCCTGGCTGCAGCGAGCCTCCGCGGGCCAGGCTGGCGCTCTCTCTGTCACTGCTAAATCAGGGTAATGAGAACACTGTCTCCTGTCCTAGCACCAGTGTAGGATCCGACACCCTCTTAACCTCAGAGTCTAACTGAGCCCGGGCATTTCCCTGAGGATGTGATACATGGACACACTCAGTCTCCATCAATGGTGAGTCCGTGCCCAGCCCCACACAACTCTGAAAAGGGGCCTCAAACACAGCTCTGGATCCCCCCCAACACACACACTGTTGTCTGTTACAACACAGAGAGTGAGTTACAGCCGCATTCGTAGGGGCAGCCTAGCCTTTGAGAACTGTACGTGACCCCAAACTTAAATACATGCCCATTTAGATCAGCTAATTGGTACGATGTCACAAAAGAGACGGGGCTTGTCACTTCCAGAGTCTATCACTATCAGAGAGGCTCTCAGTGTCTGAGACCCACTCAGCACACATCTCATTATGCTGCAATCACACCAGCATCATTACGCTGACTCCCTTCAACTTCCTTCTCTGTACAAAGCGATGCAGAGCTTTATACCCATCTCTGCTCTTTTTGAACTTACTCTACTGATGTCAAAGAATAAATGGATCTAAAAAAAAAAAAAAGGAATCAGGTTCAGGATTAAGAAGAAGCAGCCACATAATCAAAGAGACTTGAGGGTTTAAAAGTTCAGGGAGTGCTGCTTTTAGACCGGTACCACTCTCTCCAACCTCTCCCGGAGAGCACGAACACCCCACGTGACCCAGCCCCCAAAAGCTTCATCCGACAGAACAAGAGTTCAAGTACTTAAAGGAACATGTGAGGAAGCAGAATTACCATCTTCCCGCTCAAAAGCTACTGACAAGAGTGTGATCTGATGTGAAGGGTTTATTTCTGGTAAGTCAGCACGGTGTCAGGTTAACTCCTGTCCTCAGAAGCCTGCATCCTCCACAGCCCTCCAAGACCTGAAGAGGTGGTGAAACTAGAAAGTGCTTACTCGCTCAAAGAGGCACTGCGGGCCTTCAGTTGTGCGTCAGCCTCCAGAAAAGTTGCACGTTTGCAAACTCGCTAGAGTCGCCTTATGAATCACTACCCTCATTTATGCTCAGCACACTCAGGCAACCACAATTCTGCTTGTATTCCAAATAATAATTTTACCCAGGGGAGAAGGCTGTTTGGATTGACTGCAGCAACAGTTTCAATGCTGGTGTTTGTCAGCGTGGAGCTTGGTGTTTTATACACTATTCCAAAAACTAATGGAATAATAAGAGGTCACAGAGACACTGTGGAAACACAGCTCAGTTTTTTTTCTGCCTTAGTGTAGAAACGTGAGCTCTCTTATTTATTCCGTTGTAGTTGCCGAATGCACCCCTCACTTGCTATCCCCTGGAGGTATTTTTGCATGTATGTATATGTGTTCATCACAAGGGACCACTGCCCCTGCTGTTTCCAACCCTGTGGGCAACAGGGACTCTTGGTGTGTTCACTCTATGCTCTACTCTGTGGTTCAACAGAAAATGTGGTGCTTCCCAGAGGGCTCCATGAGCTGTATCAGCGACATTTTTGCATTAGCTGCAATGAAATACCAGGTTGAGAAATCTGGCATTGTTTGCAGCCTGCCACACACTGACAGGCTGAAAGGCTGACAGGCCTGGTTAAGGGCCTCTCCTTCATCCCATTTAATAGCCAGGACCAACCATCTGCCAATCCCTCCATCCATTCGTCCGTCCATACGTCCTCCAACCATTATTTTTTTAACCCAGGATTTATTAAGTGCCTACTACATGCTAGCCACTCCGTGGCATGTGGGCCCCTGCCCTTGAGGACGGTGCAATTTAGTGAGGGGAACAGGTCTCTAGACATTCATTCTACCCAAATACTGAGACCTGCCAGTAGACATCATCAAGTGGTGTTCTAAGTGCTCTAACACACTTCTCATCCATGGTCCCACACTGTGCCCTCAGATCTGGCCAAGTCAGACAACCGGTCACTCCTCAACCATATCACAGCAACCGATGCTACCGTGCTTTCGATTGTAATGTCCTCTACCTTCCTCTACTTTAATACTTTTGCTCTGTACTCGGTCACCTGCATTCCTCTGAATCCTCTCTCAGCAGCCAACTATTCCACAAATATTTATGGAGCACGTACTGTGTGGCAGACACTGGGCGAGGTCCCAGGACAGACTAGGGAACAAGACGCCCTTGGTGCCTACTCTCTCCGACAGCATCATTCATGTTTGTTGGAGTAAACAAGGACGGACACAATCTAAATGTCAATGGAGTCCATCTTGGGCCCAATGAGTAGGACAGGAACAGAAAGTAACTTTTATCTACCAAATCCTGTTCCTTATTGGTCAAAGGTTGCCCTACCTAGGGTGTTACTTCTCCCACCCAAGTAGGCGCGTGTAGCAGAGTGGCTAAAGTTCTCGCAGATGCCCAGCACCAGGGCATCAGAGAAGCCTGAGGGCAGAAAGCCAGAGATTCGTGGTACAGTTGAGGGGAGGAGCTTCTGAGTTATACCTGGTGCCATATATAATATGGCAATGGCTGCTGGTAGGGCTAGGTGGCGGAGAGGGTATGAGGTGAGCATACAAGGTGTATGATACAGGGCAGAAGTCTCCGGAACCTGCCTTCCAGCTGTGCTGAGGTCAACCGTTGACTGACCAACAGTCAAACACACATCAGCAGCCCTTTCTTCCACTGCTAAAGCTGGTGAATGGCACTGAAACCGGCAGCGACCCTTTGACTGGGGACCCCTTGAGAATAAGAAAGGGAGGGCGTTAGAGTTCAATTTAAAGTCTGAATTTGTAAAGTATACAGAATAGTTTCTTACGTCAGTTGAAAGAAATCAAAGCAAAGCCCATGACTTGCCTCTATTTCCTAAGAGATGGGATGAGAAGTATAGGACAAAATCTCTCCTGGTGAGGTCCCCTAGTCGAAGCTGATCGTTCAGCAGGTTTCGTGCAGTCCTGGGCAAGACTGCTGCTTGCGGATGTTGCCTGTAGCCACTACAATGACCAGAGACTTCAAGGAAATAAAAACAGAGCATGGTGTCCCAACCTTCATCCAACCCCATGTCACATACCCTTCTGTTGTAATGGACAAAACTCTGGGGTGAGAGAACTGGGGCTTGGTAGGATTGCCCTTGGCCTCTACCTGGGAGCCACAATTCTCAGTGATTGCCCCTATGGCCCAGGAAATGCCTGTCCTACCTACACTGACTTCTAGGAATTTCCAGCTGTATCAGTCATACATCCAGGATTCCATCTTCATGTAGTCTAAGAATATCCATTCATTCATTCATTCATTCATTCATTCAAACATGATTTTCCAGCCCCTACTCTGTACGAGGCAGGTGCGGGTCGCCATGTTTGAAGCTGAGCATCTGCTGACCTCACACAGAGTGCCCAACACAACACGTGCCTCCAGACAAATGGTTGAGCTTTGCCCCGTGATTTTTTAACCTCCAGAAGAAAATCTCCACATTAGAGAGCAATGGTAAGGTCATTTACAAAAGGCAACATTTCCTTCCATACTCAACCAAAGGGGCGTACAACGAAGCCTGTCAATCAAAGTGTAGGGAAAGGAACTGATCCCTCTAGAATCAGAGCAATATTAACAAAACTGCTGTGATCAAATCAAGTGGTGCACATGGGGGTGGCCTTCATTGTCTGGTGTCACCTCGGGCGTTCGTGCCACTTTCGAGGCTGGAAGAGAGCTTTTAGGTGAACCTCTAGCCGGCACTGATGACTGGCAGCTGGAACAACTGATTAGGCATGGCCGAGGAACATATTGGAAATTCTTATTGCTTTTGTGATTAAGAGATGGCGGACTCCTCAGGGAAATAAAAGCCTGGTCTTGGGATGGATTCATGAGCCCTGCCTTCAGCGGAGGGCCGGGAGCTGGCCTCCCTGACACTTTGGGTTTTCTCTCTGGAGCATAGCTTACTGCAGTCCCCCACTCGTCTCCTGCAGAGGGAGGTGCAAGTTACTCAGCTGGGCTTTATAGTTTTAACAAAGCGGCATGTGTTGATCTATGTGGCCCCCAGAGGCCATCTTGCCAGCTACTGGGACCAGGGCATTCGAGGCTTGAGCTTTTAACTAGCTCAGGTTAATGGTTAATAAACAGCTCTCTCTCTTTATCCAAATGAAAACAATCAATCTATATTTCTAGGGGTATAGACAGGGCACCCCGGGGGATACTTTAGCTGTCATGTATTCACTGTGTGAATGGACGCAGGCAAGGCGTGTTCCCGAAAGGAGGCCTATCTGTTTCAGGCCCTCTCCCAAGGCCAGAGAAGGCTACCCTGGGCACTGCTTGGCAACTGTGTTCTCACCATTTTAGAGGACAGGGAGGAGGACCTCCCTCGTCAGGTGAGGTATATGAAAAGAGCCAATTGGAGGGCATAATCTTGTTCAAAGCAGCATGGGCAGTTAGAGTCCTGCTTTTCAAGTTTTCCCTTGCAAACCAATCACCAGGAACAAATACTGATTCTGATTCACTGGTCCTGGAGGCAGGCTGAGGTTCTGAGCTCGTATTAAACTTCCCAAAGTCCCCTGGGATGCTGAGGCTGCTGATCTGGGAACTGCACTAGGAGCAGCCGGAGCTAGACCTTA